TCTTGTACCCCCCAGCAAATCATCCAGTGTCATTCAATCCCAAAAGGAGACACAAGGTTCTTCCTCATACCGGGAATCGTCTCGTCTTGGTTGCCTATACACCTCGAGGATGGACTCGTCTTCCAGAGTCGACGATAAAGGAACTTCGGGAGCTTGGGTTTCCGGTTCCTCCGCTGCCTAAGGGATCCGAGCCAGTAGTCAGAGCTGTTTCAGTAGCCTATGTCGGCGACGACAGTAGTGAAGGCGATGGTGGCTTAGGCTGCACCATTGTAGATGACCAGCAGTATGCCATGGATGAGAAGTTGGTAGAAATGCTGCAAGCTGACCTTTACTTTCTCTCACGGGTCTTTTCTTGGGAGTGTCAGTTGGCGTCCGAAACGCTGAGGGAAGCCGGGCCGTCAAACTGCCCAAGCATGTGCTACATCAACATGTTGGACTCGCAAATCCAAGAGCTGCAAGAGGAGTTGCTGTGGATCGATTCCGGGACAAAGCTTGATGGCACTGTCAGCGGGCATGATGACGAGAGGCTAGCCAAGGCTATGATAAGGACACTAGCAGTGAAGGAAAGCGAGAAGGGCCCACAAGAAGAAAGTGAGCCAGAGGTGTTCCTGCAGGCTAGGACTATCGACCCGCAGCAGGCAGCGGGCGAACTTGAAAAGTGGGTCCCCCCACTGTTGGACGAATACACTGGGTTACGCTTTCAATATGAAGCCATCTACCCCATCGACGTGAACCAGTTGTGTGAGGAAGATGTGCAGAGTGGAGCAATAGAAATCCTACCTGCAAAGGTGGTGTTCACGAGAAAGCCACCGGTGGGAAAAAGACGCGCGCGCATAGTGGCGTGCGGAAACTTTCAGCAGAAGACCTGGAGCGATCAAGTTGCAGTTGCTCGTCGAGAGGTATACGCCTCTGGGCTAGACACCATCGCGTTGAGAATCCAGTTGCGACAGGCGTCTCTATGTGGGTGGACCGCTGCAATCCTAGACATAAGAAAAGCCTTCCTGTATGCGCCGCTGCACGAACGGAAGGGAAAAGGAAAACGCATAATCTTGATGCCGCCTAAAATACTGGTCAAGGCCAAGATAATCCCACCGTCGGAGCGATGGGTTATCCAGAGAGCACTATACGGCTTGGACTTAAGCCCGGCGGCATGGAGCCGACACCGTGACAAATGTCTTTCTCAGCTGAAGTGGGCCTTCGAGGGTTTGGAGTACAGACTAACACAGAGCGATTCCGAACCGTCTCTTTGGAAAATCCAGGATTCCAGCAACGCTTTGAAGGGGCTCATTGGCGTATATGTTGACGATATGCTCTTGAGTGCTTGCAGAGGCTTATTGGAATCAGTGGCAGGGGCCATTCAGACGCTTTGGGAGACCAGCGACATTAAGTTTGCGGAGGACGGTTTGCACTTTCTTGGTGTTGATATCCGGCTGCACAATGGTAGGTATTACCTAACACAAGTGAGCTATGTCACCGAGTTGCTGAACAGGCATCCCGAAATTGAGGGGACTGCGTCGACGCCGTATCCAGCTGAGAAGGATCAGGAGACCGAAGAAGAGAATATCCAGATGGAGTCGGTTCGCTTAGCGCAGGGGCTGATTGGAGAATTAACGTGGTTGGCCACGAAAACAAGGTTGGATATCGCGTGGGCGGTGAACCGTGCTTCTCAGCTTTCTAGCAAGCGTCCTAGCAGGGCGATTGCAGTGTGCCAAAACATCGTGCGATATCTCCGAGGAAAGCCGGATTTGGGCCTGGTGTACGGGCCGAAGCCTGCGCAGGGCGTGAAGGTCGAAATGACGGAGGGGACTCTAGAAGTCGCCACAGACGCGTCGTTTGCACCGCTGGGCGAAAAGTCACAAACCGGTGTGGTGTTAAAATGGGCCGGCGCTGTCATCGGCTGGGTTTCCTCAAAGCAGACGTTCGTCTGCCTGAGTTCGGCAGAAGCTGAGCTATATGCGGCCATGGAAGGTATGGTCATGACAGACAGTGTCAGTGACCTGGTACGCGAACTAGTAGGGCAGGTGGCGCCAGCTCTCTATTCGGACAACGTTGCATGCACTTGCTTGATCGCTCTCCCGGCGGGCTCATGGAGAACCCGTCATTTGAGACTTCGCGCGAGAAGATTGCACGAGAGAATAGAGAATGAGGAGCTTCAATGTTTTCACCTACCAGGGGAGGTCATGACCGCGGACCTATTAACCAAGTCGCTTTCGTCTCAGAGGATGCAGAAGCTACTTGACTTGGCTGGAGTCGTCCAGTTGTCCCATGTCTTAAGATGCGCCGTGGTGGTGCTGAGCATCTCCAGAGCGCAAGCTCAGCCATCTGAAGATGAAGAAGATGAAGCGTCATGGGTTCCGCTTCTGCTAGTAATGGGGTTCACGGTCTTAATCGCAAGACTTTTGGAACTATGTTTGCGATGGTGTTGGAGTCAAGGGGCAAGGAGACTTAGAGATCTTCAGGGGCCACCTGAGAACGGAGAACTAGTAGGGTCTGTTCTAGAACAAGTATCTTCGCAGGGAGCTGTAGACGGGTCTGAGGTGACAGTAGTCGCTTTTGGGGATGACGTTGGACTGGTAGGGCCAGAGGATCAGGTCGAAGTTGTGGCTGCGGACTTGATCGCTAGGGCGCTAGAAGAAGAAGAACGAGCCTTGTTTCATAGGTGGTATGCTCTATATGTTGAGCCCTATGATCCCTACGACCCGTTGTTAGATGAGTCCCCATCCCGCAGAGCCTCTCTTGAAGACATTTGGTCGGAACCTCAAAGCCCAAATCCCGAACCTGAAATAGGACAGGGGTCTAGGACCGGGGGAGTAGAACTGTCTCAGGCGGCAGGGCCTAAAACTAAAGCTCCAGATCCTAAGTCAAGTACCCAAACTTCCTTTCAGGGGCACCATCCCTCGTTGAGTTCTGGGCTTTCGGAAGAGTCTCTGGTTTCGGGTGGGAGTCTTGAAGTAGACCCTAAGAGTAAGCCTCCTGCACCAAAACCGCCCCCGGATGGTTGGTTGGGAACCGTTGTAAAAAGGCCTCCGCCCGTGACATCGCAGTCTGTAGCTATCCCTATCCCTAAGCCGAAACTACCGCCTGAAGGTTGGTTGGGAACTGTTGCCCCAAAGCATCCAACCGCGAAGGCACAGTCTGTAGGTGTCCCAAAGTCTCCTCCTGTTAAGCAACCCCCACCAGCTCCGAAATTGAACCCGCAAGCTCATCAGGACATGATATTAATCGCGCAGACACAAGAATTGATTCAGTGGGAGCTTCGCCGAAATCTCGGCCATCAGCCCATTGAAGGGCTCAGAGATAACTTCCACTACATTCCCGAACTTGGTCTGCTGATAAGATGGCATCCGATGTGGCGCCAACAGTTCTTCGACCCAAGTCGGACAGCACTTCCGATATCACTAAGCAGGTTGGTTGGGGATCGTCGGTCTTTCTGTATCTTCAGGGATGGTACCAGTGGCATTCTTGATGACAACTTCAGGGTCACGCGCCAAGGGGCGAACGTCTCAACGATGCAATGGCAGGGGAGAACTGAGTTCCTTGTAGCTCCTCCAACCCCTATAGCTCCTGTACCAAACCCTCCTCCAAGCAAATCGAAAGCCGCAGGTCCCAAACCAAAATCTAAGCCGAAATCTCAACCGAAAGCCGAGCCGAAGCCGAAAACACCACCACGTCGCTTAACACAGTGAAGCGGAAACTGTAGACCTCAAACAAGGCGTACTCCTAGAAGTCCTGATTCCTAGTCTTAAGTGATGTAGGTTTTGGGTGTTTAGATAGGGTTGACGGGGTAAGTTCTCCTTCCTTTGGGGCCAGTAGCGTCTTAAAGGGTTTTCTAGGTCCTATGCTTGGTACAGATAAGTATGTGGACACCGTCTTGCGTAAGCTGGTTTTCCGTAGTCTTGAGCGTCGCAGAGTGTTTGAAACCGCAGTATCGTTTAGAGCATCTTGATCGTAGGCAGCCGGTAAGTGCTGCTATTGTTTCCGAGAAGGGGAGCTCGCTGGACTTTTGGGATTCCTGTCCTGTCCTTAGGCGTCCCCCCGTAGATCTCCTTTAGATCTCCGTTGTTGGTGTTGTTACGCAGAAAAGGCCTTGAGCTTTGAGCACTCACTCCACGGCCTAACAACTACCTGGCCAAGTGTTTGAAAGAGTGGTGTGCCTTAGATATGAGTTTGCATGCTGCAAAGGGGGAGTCTTGATGATGAAGCATCATATCCCTTCTGCAGGCCTTTTAGCTATGATCAAGTGCAGTATCTGAAAAGGGCGATTTGACTTGTGCGAGTTCACAGGTGTCTTGGCAGCATTAACCCTAAACCCTAACCTCTAATCTAAGGGTTGGTTTCCTTATAGGAGTCGGGGTTGGGGCTTCGGGGTACATGGCTTGGGGTTTTCGAAAGGGTCTTTCGGTTTGGGATGAAGAATGAGGATGTGGGGTTACCTTGTATTCTGATGAACACCTCACGTGTCCGGGTGCAGCTAAAGGCCGAGAACGTGTTGTTCTGCCAGGCTGGTGTCCTTCTTGGTCGCCGTGTGGCTGGATTCCCAGAGAGTCTAAATGCTTTCCCTCGCTCCAAGGAGGGAGGGCAAGGAGGAGGACGTGGGGAGCAAGGCGTGCAAAGGCAGGTGACAGGCATCCAGCGTGTGTCACTTCACAGCGCAGTACGTCTTTTTGGCCTGCAATGTCTGCACATCCGCATGGTGAGGAAGCTTTGCCAGCTTTATCGGCTCTGTCTGTGGCCTTTGTAAGCAGGTATAGCCTTCTTTCGCAGCATGCGCTGCGCTCTGGCAGTGCAACCGAATGAGTGAGTAGTGGCAGCCTTACTGACCCAACACACAGCGGGTAAAAGGCTGACACCCCGAAGATTAGAAGTGTCAACGGAGGCGGGGCTATGCTATCTTTACTCGAACACAACAAGTACCTTAAGACGATCGTCGGTCATTCAGTAGCCACTTTAGGATTCCCGCGTGGAAGCTTACCTGCTCAAGGACACCGTAACCACCGCGCCTTGTCGATCTTCGCCTTTGGGTTTTGCTCTTCGAGGACGTCCTGTCACTGAAGCCGGCAGCGCGAGGAACTCCACCAAAGCAAAAAAAAATACTAATAACAACAATAATAATAATAGTAATAATGGTAATGGTAATAAGAATAATAATAATCATCATCATCATCACAATAGTAATAGTAATAGCAATAGTAGTAGGAATAGTAAGAATAATGGTAATAACAATAATAAAAGAAACGCGGAGTCCTGCAGAGCCTTCCGATCTGCCGAGGAGATCCCGGCCTTGACGGGTGTGACCCCTCCAACCCGAATGGTGGACCATGCTGTAGGGTTTAGGGTTTAGGGTTTAGGGTTTAGGGTTTAGGGTTTAGGGTTTAGGGTTTAGGGTTTAGGGTTTAGGGTTTAGGGTCGCACGTCCACGCGCAATGCGGATGCTGAAACTCCCCCTGAGAAAGGGACTGCTAGGTCAGCAACTTTCACCTGGCCAGTGCGGCATGCCTAGCACGAGGTCCCTGGCTCTGCAATCTGGACCATAAGAAGGCGAGCCAAACGAGATGCTTGAGTAGCACGACAGTCCGAAACGCCAAAAAGAATAGAAGTCTGCAGCAGCAACGCTGCGAGTCTGAGAGCGCCCTCTTCAAGTAAAGCCCGTCAAATCCCTTCTAACAATGCGAAGAAGCAGCTACAAGAAGCAAACGTGCCGGTTGCGGCTTTGACCCAAGGAAGACAGTGCTCTGTGAATTTGTTCAGCTTTACAGTTTACTTCCTGCCACAGAAAATCAGCCAGACGCTTCTTCAGACTTGCCAGCAAGACCGGATCCTGCATGTCGAAGTGCTGTATGACCTGGCACCACGGAGGGCATGCGAGGCTCAAACGCCTGAGTGGGAACTACCTGAACCTGAGGCAGTGGAAGGTAGTAGTAGTAGTAGTAGTAGTAGTAGTAGTAGTAGTAGTAGTAGTAGTAGTAGTAGTAGTAGTAGTAGTAGTAGTAGTAGTAGTAGTAGTAGTAGTATAGTAGTAGTAGTAGTAGTAGTAGTAGTAGTAGTAGTAGTAGTAGTAGTAGTAGTAGTAGTAGTAGTAGTAGTAGTAGTAGTAGTAGTAGTAGTAGTAGTAGTAGTAGTAGTAGTAGTAGTAGTAGTAGTAGTAGTAGTAGTATCTAGCCGTCGCAAGACACATCAAGCTTCATGTTGGTACATTCATCAACCCCATACACCCGGCCACTTCCCCAAACCGGCAGCCGAAACCCCGACAGCTTCAAAGCCCTTGGCAGGCAATTCTCTTCGCGGACAGAAAGCATGCACATGCAAGCGGAGTCTTCCACCGGAAGACAGGAGCCTCAAGGCCAGACAACAAACGCGAGAAGAGCGAGGCGACGGGGAGCTACGGCTGACATGCAGTTCTTCGCCGTCCTGCGATTTCAGCAGCCGATTCAGCAGCTTGCCCCGTGGCCTGCAGCCTAGTAAAGATACCGTCCGACCATGAAACCTTCCTTACAACTAGGTCCTCTCAATTCTGCAATGCTGCCTGGTCGTGCTGCTCACGGTGCAGAGGCGAGGCCGCCAAGAGCTTCTTCATCAGCTGGATCTGCCACAGGACTTCACATGGGTGGTTGTCAAAACTATGGTCCCCTTTTTGGATCCCTAAAAATTAGGGGTGCTTTCAAAAGGGATCATAATTTTGACAACCACCCACATGCAGCAGGGATCATAATTTTGACAACCACCCACATGCAGCAGGCGTTCGGGGGGTGGGGTTCCTATGCCTTCGCCAGGGACATGGGGGTTCTCTCTCGGGATCCAGATGCAGTAGTAGTGTTTTGCAGAAGGATGCAGAAGGCATCATTCAAGCTGAACCCTCGACCCCTTGAGAGACTTTTTGCTCGTGCCGGTTCCCCCCAGCGCGCGAGGGAGTCCCTCAGAAGGCCACGGCGAAGCCCAGCAGACCCAGGGCCAACGAGATCACCTGGGCCCAGGTCTATTTGGGGTCCAGCGTCTCCCCCCCGAAAGCTCCTTGCGTTCACTTAGGGGTTTAGGGCTGAGGGTTGAGGGTTGAGGGTTTAGGGTTTAGGGTTTCGGGTTTAGGGCTTGGGCTATCTTAGGATTTAGGACTGAAGGCTCAAGGTCTCAACTGCAATGTACCTGACTGCAATGTACCTGACTGCAGCAAAGTGTCCGCCCTGCCACTGGAGCTCCTGTCCTGCACAGGGATGTCAGGCGTGCGGCATTGTCGCTCGGTGGTATTCCCTTGCCTCGTCCTTCTTGGCTTCTTCCGTGGTAGTGGTCTGTCGGAAAGCAGCTTGGAGCTTTCAACAGAAGTCTATGCTTCAACAGCACAACTAACTCGCTATGTTCTCTTTGCTAGGACGCTGCGGAGGAAGGGCCACAGGCGGCAACAGGTGGACACGAGGGTATGTGCCCTGGGCACTACATGGGCACTAAGGCTTGAAGCTTGAAACGGGCATGAAACGTCTCTTTGAGGGTTTAGGGTTCAGGGTTTAGGGTTTAGGGCTTAGGGATGCCGGAAACCATACTTGTACAACCACAATCGACGCGTTCAAAGCAACACAGGCCTTCACGTCGCTGACGACCACCTCCTGCAGGCCAAGTTTTAGGCTACCCTGACTGGAGGGTCTAGGGTTTAGGGTTTAGGGTTTAGGGTTTGGGGTTTAGGGTTTAGGGTTTTGGGTTTAGGGTTTAGGGTTTAGGAAGAGGGACGGCACGGTCAAACTGGAGCACCGCAGCCCTCAGCATGGTTCCAAAAACAAACTGAGATCCTTCGTGTGGACGTCGACGGACACCTCCTTAGCAGGCTCGCAGCTGAAAATGCACAGGCAGAATGTGGCAGAGAGTCACACGACCCTGACCAGCCTCCAGCAGCAGAAGCCAAAACCCCCCAGCTGCCTCTAGCTCCCGAACCACAAAGACTAACCTTATCTGCCACCAGTGGGTCCGGCTTGTCCGGTGCAGAAGCTTCCGAGCCCTGCCAGAGGCAGGGCTTTAGTGTCAATTGATCCTACATCGCCCTGCCAAGACGAACCTTGCCCAGCTTCGGAGCACGTCACAAGTGGGCCACCGAAAACAACGAAACCCAAAAATGCCTCATACAAAGGGTGCCTTGGTCTCATTCACCACGACGGTGACCTGGTAGCACAGACATGCTACACGCTACATCTACCGTAACGATCACCCATCAACCTGTCTCTCCATGGATGGGTATATATACGACTAGGCCAATCTATGTTTATAACATACATATACATATACATATACATATACATATACATATACATATACATATACATATACATATACATATACATATACATATACATATACATATACATATACATATACATATACATATACATATACATATACATATACAGAAACATATACATATACATATACATATACATATACATATACATATACATACACCTATACATCTACATATAGATATACATATACATATACATATACATATACATATACATATACATATACATATACATATACATATACATATACATATACATGTGCATCGGTCCTATATGCCAAAGAAGGGTGGATGCCAGTAGTGAAAGAGGTTCAGGCAAGCCGCATCAACCTTCTCATCGTCCGGCAGGGGGCCCTTGTTGTGCACCGTAACTTCCTTGCGAGTCCAAAGGTGGCAGTGGGGTCATCATTCAGGTACGGATGCTCGGAAAAGCCGATTAGGAACAAGAACAAGTCCCCCCCACCCACCGTAGTCCCACGGCAACCAGGGTCTCCTCCAGCTACTCCAATTCCCCACACCCTTGTCCCGGAATCCGGGAGAAAAAACCCAAACCGCTAGGTTGCGAGGGCTGCTCGGATCAAAGCATCAGCCGTGCGTCGGGTCCGGTTGCATCCTTCTTCTCCTTCGACTCGTCCGGCACGATCTTGGTCTGCCAGCCAGGATTGCAGGATCCCTTCAAGACACGCCTGCTTTGTGCTGAGCACAAAGAAAGAAGTGTTGCCACAAGTCCTGAAACCCAGAACCTCAACCTAACCTAAACTCCAACACCTGTCTAAAGTCCGAAAATGTTCCACACATCCCGAGTCCAGCGGCCTTGCCCTGGTTGTGGGGGTCATGGATCCCCTCGGCACATGTGATGGAAGGGTTTGAGGGTTGAGGCTTCGATCAATCCAGAGTTGAAGGTGAGGGGACTCCTGCGGGCTTTTAGAGCTGAAAGAGTTGAGGCGCTACAGTTCGGAAGGAATTGGATGCTAAAGCCGGAGCTAGTACAGCGGCAACGTACTGGTAGCTCCCCAATCCTGAAGCCACAAACATCAGATCCCGACTTTCGAATCCCTTGCAGCACAGGGCACCGACTTCTTGGCATCCCAGGAATTCGCTAGAGGCTCAGCGACGGAAGAAAACAGGTTTATTGCAGGGCTGATTCCCCCAAACCAAACCTGAAGACCCTTCGGTTTCTAAACGTGCTAGATTGCCGGGCGAATAACAGGGATACGGTCATCATGGATGCTTGCATTGACATGGCGCCTCCTTGTCGTCCACGACGACAGTGACCTGAGTAACATCAAAAGGCGCACTGCTCAGAGCGGATGAGCTCCAACAAACGAATCAGACCCTGCAAAGTGTATTCTATACTAGTAGATACATTTTACAACACATTGTCATACATTATTGTATATTGTTAAAAAATGTGTTGATATTTGATTCGTTCTCACATATTATTGTATTTTGTGTAGTAGCATTTATGATTATATGTTCCTATATATTATGTATACTATTATGTGTTAGTATATTTCTTTTCATTACTATACATTAGTTCATCTGATTTTGTAGTATGATTTATTCCTATATATTTCTCGCTTTTTAACATATTAATACATATTTTCCCTTTTATACATATGTATATGTGGTTCTATATGATGACACATTCTTACATAGCAATACTACATCATATTATACATGATTCTTTCATATCCCATTATGCGATTTCTGACTGACTATGATAGATTACTGTATGTTACTACACAGAGACAAGCAGCATCGACCTTCGCATCCTCATCATCCTTCTTGCCCTTCTTGGCGTCCTGGGCCTCTTCCTTCTCCATCTCCTTCTCGACTTCCTTCTCCACGTCCTTGTCGTCCTCCTTCTTGTCCTCATCCTTCTTGGCCTCTTCCTTCTTGTCCTCCTCCTTCTTGGCCACTTCCTTCTTGTCCTCCTCCTTCTTGTCCTCATCCTTCTTGGCCTCTGCCTTCTTGTCCTCTTCCTTCTTGGCCTCATCCTTCTTGGCCTCTTCCTTTTTGGCCTCCTCCTTCTTGGCCTCCTCCTTCTTGGCCTCCTCCTTCTTGTCCGCTTCCTTCTTGGCCACCTCCTTCTTGGCCACCTCCTTCTTGGCCACCTCCTTCTTGTCCTCCTCCTTCTTATCCACTTCCTTCTCCTGGTCACACATGCAGACACTTCTCCAGCGCAAGACAGGCAAGCCTTGATGTGTTCGGGGGGGCCTCCTTCTTCGCCACTTTCTTGACATCCTCTTCTGCCTGCTGGGTCTTCTCATCCTGCGGTGGGACTATCAAGAGTTTAGGGTTTAGGGTTTAGGGTTTAGGGTTTAGGGTTTAGGGTTTACGGTTTAGGGTTTAGGGTTTAGGGTTTAGGGTTTAGGGTTTGTTGGTTCCTGAATGTCCGAAAGGCACTCAGCGTCCTTGGGTTCGGAGAGGATCTCCAGCTGCACATCGTCCAGGCTTGATTCAGATGCCTGAGCGTGTGGGGTGCATAGGCTTTGGCAGCCATATACATCATGATCAATCTTCTGGATACTATGTGAAATTTCACTACCTGATCCATGTTCATGTTCTAAACCTTGGCCTAGTGGAGCATCAGAGCAAGCCACCTGCCAGGTAAAGATGAGCCTTCAGACTCACTTCTTGAACCCCAAACTCCCTTAATGCTGCTTCTTTTGCTGAACGGTAGCCGCTCTGTCGACATCCTGTCAATGCTAAACCCTAAACGCTGAACCCTGAACCCTAAACCTTAAACCCTAAACCTCCTGAGATGCCAAGGCCACCTTCTCCAGCAACGCCGAGTGCGGCTTCTGCATCAGTCGCGCCTGCACAGCTGCCAGGAGCAGCCTCAGGACGCGACTTCAAAAAAAGAAACCTCCAAGAACCCTAAACCCTAAACCCTAAACCCTAGACCCTCAATTCCTGGAGCTGACACTGGCTGCGCAAAGCACACCACTCTCTCCACTGGCTGCCGAGGCACACCACGGCCAGAGTTCGCGAGCAAGCACCTGCCTTGGCGAAATCGTTGAGACTCAGCTAGTTCATTGTTGGGATAATATTAAAATTTGAAATTCGCATTCCTTATTGGGTTTAAGTACCCTTGAACATGGAAAAGGTTACCCAACTATGACAAAGTCAAAGTGTTGAGGGCAAAGACAGTCCGTCGTCTACTGTCTACTTCCAGTCAACGCCGTAGTAAACGAGGATGTTGCGAATTCGCCACATTTGGCCGCATCAAAGCTTCTGAAATACATCTGCATACATCCACCCTTGTTGTCAGGCTTCGTGCTTGATTTCTACCCGCACTCTTTTTTCTAGACTCGAAAAGCGGGGTTGATCTGGGGTTGAAAGCTTGCCCACAGAAACTTCATTCCCCCCCCCAATGGGGGGGGGGGTAGTCCCCCGGGGGGGGGGGTATGCGGAAATAGGTCGCTGCCTATTCTGTCCTGTGCCTCATGTTAGGGGGGGGTTGGGGAGTCTCTTCGGCATAATGTTGCCAAAACGGAGTGCCCTTTCTTTTTCAAATTCACCCAGAGCCTCGGGCCCGGCTCGCTGGGGCTGCAGTTTTGGCACATGACATCAACACATCTTAAACAAAGAGGTCATGGAAGAGGTCATGGCGAGAGAGATAGAGAGAGGTACACCTGATACATGTTGCTCGCGGCCTATTTTCTGACCCCCCCCCCCACTGTCTCCAGAATAGGCCGCCGGAACTACCCAAAATAGGCGGGGACCTAAGTACCCCCCCTCCCCAGATACCTATTGATAGGGGGGGGGAATGAAACTTCAGAAGCCCTCGTGGACCTGTCACTTGTGGTTCGGATAGTTTCGGCGTCTCCCTTGCAGCTGCGGTCAAGTTGCCATGGTTCCGACGTCGGCTGGATGGCTTCGTTGAGGCGACTTGGGCTCGACCGCTCTCGAGCGCTGTGGCGGCGGAAAGCAGACACTAATTTACTGGATGAGGAAAGCCAGAACTACTCATACGTAAACCGAAGAAGCTAAAACTCGAGATCCTGAAGGCTGAAACCCAAAAGGATCCCTAAGCCCGACTGTGCCCGAAGCCATCAAAGCGCTGTCGAAACTTATCCCGTCCTCTCTGCGTCGCCTGACTAGGGTTGCAGGCTTAGGGCCCAGAAGTGGCTGGCTCAGGAGTGGGTTGCCTGGGCCTAAAGCCTAAAACCCCGCCAGCTAATCATCCAGGGACGACGAAACCATGCCATCGAAACCCACCTTCCTTTTGGCACCCTTTCCCAAGCTCCCAACCACGGCGCGGCAACCGGGAAGACCTCCTCCGCCATCACCCTCCTCCCCCTCAAAGAAATGGCCAGGGCTGCCAGGTCAAGGAGCGCAGTTTGCTGCGCCTGCTTGTCTTCGAACTCCTTCGGTGCATTCTTGATACTTGTAGCTTGGAAACGCATATGTTTAGGTAGTGCGCAGATTTGTTGCATGCCTCCATACTAACAAGTTTCCCGAGGTTGCTTAGCTTACCGAAGTCCCTACAAAGAACGCTAACACCCCGTCCCCCTTCTCAAAGCTCTGAGCCCTCGACTCCTAAATCCCTACTTCCATCTACTTCCATACCAAGAACACTAGACCCTACAGCCTTAGCCCTGAACCCTAATCTAGCTGCTAGCTGTCCTCAACAGCTGGAATCGCTTCGATGTGGACTGCTGGCAAGGCCACGTGCGGGCTAGGCCTGAGCGTTTCGGGTCGGGGTTGGGGGGGTTTGGGGTTTGGGGTCAAGGGCTTTGGGTTGTTCAGGATTTGGGGTTTGGGGTTTGGGGCTTAGGGCTTAGGGGTGTTGAGAGTTTAGGTCCCCACACTGTACACCCCCAACAAATGGGGAGGCGGTGGAAATGGAGAGACAGAAGACAGTTGCAGAGCGGAAGCTCTTTTCTTAGCGTCGCGGGTCATCTTTACGAGCTCTCGCAGTCAGCCGCAGCGTTCCTGTGTTAGAGATGATTTCCACAACCTCAGCGCCAGGAGCCCAAGGAAAGAACAACGACAAGGACTTCGGGCTGTGGATCCTGCACCGGCACAAACACTTCATGCAGCTGGCGTGCCGCGAGGGCCACGCGAGCCGTGCGGGCCGTGCCGCGCGTGCCATGTGCGTGGGTCGTGGGTGCGTGGGTGCGTGGGTGCGTGGGTGCGTGGGTGCGGGGGTGCGTGGGTTTTTGGGTGCGTGGGTGGGTGGCTGGCTGGCTGGCTGGGTGCGTGGGTTTTTGGGTGCGTGGGGTGGGTGGCTGGCTGGCTGGGTGGGTGAGTGGGTGGGTGGGCGTGTGAGTGTCCGTGTGCCTCTCTGTGCGTGCGTGTGTGCGCGCGGGTCCCGTCAAAAGGAAACCATGTTCATGTCCGCAAGTTCAAGGCTGCCTTATGGGCCTTCTTCACCTTCCTGCAACATGCCAAAGGCCCATGTCCGAGATGCCCGTACTTGAACTTCTTGCCCTTTCACCACCTTTCATGCAGCAGCGAAAGCTGCAATCCCAAGCCACGGTGACAGACAACTGGGGGAGCCAAGCAAGCGCGAGTTCGGGTCCACAGAGCCTACTATTAGTGATGAGACCGATCAACAGCTCTCTGTCGAACTACACCCTAAATCGTAAACCCTAACCCCTAAACCCTAAACTCTAAACCCTAAACCCGCTTGGTTCGGGAAACAGGATTTTGCCTTCTCCGGATCTGGCAGCTGGGACTTGTGCAAGATGCCCTGGACGAGGCCTTCAGGGTCACAGTGGGTCGACCTCTGAAGGCTCTTTGAAATGGGGGGGTTTACGGGTTTAGGGGACCCCCAATAGAGACCCCAGAGCCCCCAAATGGTAGGATTCCCTTACAATAAGGACCCCCGGAAAGGTACCCCAAAAATTTTCGGAAACCCCCAAATACCCCTAAACCCTAAACCCTAAACCCAAAACCCTAAACCCTAACCCTAAAGAAGCCAAATTTCGGAACCTCCAATCAATTGGGTTCCAAGGGCTCCAGCGCCTCCTGCTTCCGGGACCGACACATCCACCCAGACGCTCCAGTAGGAAGCGTAGCGCACGGTGGCTGTAAACCACTCCGAAGGCCTGACCATCACGTCATCCTCTTTAGGGTTTAGGGTTTAGGGTTTAGGACTCAGGATGCTTTAAATGGGATCTTCGTTTAGGGTTCAGGGTTTAGGGTTTCGGGTTTAGGGTTTAGGGTTTAGGGTTTAGGTGACCATCACGTCATCTTCCTCTAGGACTTAAGGTTATGGGGGGCAACGTCGAATTGAAGGTCGTGAACTGCTGCATTGGCCACCTCGCATTCTCGAAGAACGAGACAGGGTCCTGCCGAGGTCAGCGTCTGCAGAGCCCTTCGATCTGCAACAGCCCAGAGACTCCAAAACCCCTTAATTAAGGAATATACCTTAAATCATATTAGGGTTCCTACTATAATTTAAGGTATATTGCTTAATTAAGGGGTTTTGGAGTCTCTGGGAGCCGCTGAAATTCGCTGAGCACGGTCCTTCAACGTCGAAGCCGGGTACTCAATCATGGACAGACCTATGAAGCCATCCCGTGAAATTCGATAGACCTCAGCGCTTGCATGGGTACGTGGAAGGGGGTCATCTACAAGTAACGCAAGCTCGAGCTGTTGACTGCGACCCAGCCTGCAACACAAAGAACTAGTCAGACCAAAAAAGCAACATGAACCCTAAACCCTAAACCCTAAACCCTAAACCCTAAACCCTAAATAACATCTTGAGCCGAGACTCCCAGACATCTACTTCCTCAGGGAATGACAGCAATGCTTTCGGGCAAGAAGTTGGGGCGCGAGAGGGCTGAAAGACCGCAGGCAAACGCAGTCCTCCCCCACGGAGACCACGTCACCGGCATCTTCCACATATCCTCAGTCTTGGGTCAGCATAGCACCGGAGAGTTGAGAACTGGCACAGCAGCAGAATCCGAACCCTTGCTGCGCACATGCCAGATCCTTCATGCAAGCAGCTCTCTGCCATCCGCGAGATGCGCGTCAGAACTGTCGACTGGAGGCCTGCAAAGGGTTCACTACCAGCCTGAGAACTGGTACTTTGTGAGCCCTAACCCCTAACCCCCCAAAACCATAACCCCTAAACCCTAAACCCTGAACCCTAAAGCCGAAACCCTAAACCCTAAACCCTAAACCCTGAACTTCCCTGAGCCCCATGAACTTCCCTGAGCCCCGAACTTCCCTGAACCCTAAACCCGAAATCGTTTGCCAGCGCGGGGTCGGGTGGTGGCTCGAAGGTCTTGACCTCTCTCGATTCCTTTGAGGTAGATGTGAAATGGGGGCTCGTGGCGAAGAGGGCGTAGAGGGTTTGCAGGGCTTGCTGGGGTTCAGGATTTCAAATCAAATTCACTGGAAAAACCCCTCCTCAATGACCCTAGAAGTCTACCCGCCCGTTTTCCAATGAAACGCGTGCGTAATGAGCTAATGAAACGGCCAACACACTCAAATCGGAAGGCGCGAAAAAAGCTTTGGAAAAAGCATTGGGTCTAAAAGACACGTGTTCTATATAATGGCCTGCAAGGAGGGGTACCGGTTTGAAAAAAGCAAGAAACAAACCATGTCTCTGTGAACTGGCCGACGCGGGAAAGGATCAGAAAGGATGATGGAGGCGGACAAAAAACATGTTTACGATACCGGAGGCCAATAGACTCACTAGACTAAGATTTCGCTGTGTCTTTTTGAGCGCAAAAATCCCAAAATCACAACAGCTGGAAAACCCCACATAATCACCCATGCAAGCAGGGATATTTTGCTGTGCAAGTACTGGTTCCTTATTACTAAATGCTGCATTGCTACTTTTATTGCAGGAATCTTCTTCGGTTTACATTGTCCATCAGATAAGATTTCAGCACAATGTCTCTTTTGCTTGTTGAACAGAGAAATACATACTATGGATGTTCACGCCATCTACATTCTAGCCGTGTGGCATTTGTCTTTCTTTGTACTTTCTTCACCTATTTTTTGCACTCCAAAGTTACTTCTTCTTAGTGGGAACAACATGTTTAACCTGTAGCACAAATGAGTACATGAGGATCTCCCCCCCCCGGTGGGTACCGTTGGGGGGTGGGGGGGGCCGGGGGGGCCGGCCGAGCCCTGATCATAGCGAGCCAACCTTCAATAGGCCCAGATTTGGGTCTTTGTACGGTGCGTTCTAGGATGCCCAGATTAGGGTTTGGGGGTTTGAGGTTTAGGGAATTTGAGGGCACTGGGGCGTGGAGTCAATATCAAGTGCTCTGACAGGTCTGATGGACCAAGAGGCCTGCGAATTGCGAGCCAGCCTTCAACTTTCCATTTAGGTGTTTCTGAAATCCGGGGTTACCTTATAGGGGTCCTTATCATAAGGGAATCCTACTCTTCGGGGACCTGGTGTTGGGGTCTCCGATTCTCGTAAAACCCCCATGTTGGTCTATAGGGTCCGGTTGACATCAGGGCCGCCAAAGGCCACTAAAACCCGCGACACTCCAGGAAACCCGGCACCCCTCAGAGGGCCTATGTCCATGAAGGCGCCGTACTTTGACAGACGGCGCACCAGCCCACGCAGCTTTTGGCCGACACGGAGGGCGTCCAGGGATACCTGGGGTCACAAGGCTTTAGAGCTACCTAGTTGAACCACCTTGACAATTGGAGGATTTGATATGGGCAGCCTTGAACCGAAATTCAACAATCGCAGAACAGAGTTCTGCAAAAAGACTAGACCTGCTCGGGGAGTGCTTGGGACGACACGGGTGGGAACGCGGGGGCATGGCTCCAGAGCGTTCGCATGATCTCTGAAGCCTCCAGAACATTGAGGCGAAGTCCACAAAGGAGCAGTGCTCTGCCACGGCCATGTAGAAGTCGACAGATTCTCAAAAAGT